AAAAAACAAACAAATTAATTCACCCACATACACACACAAAAAAAACCCGGGGCGGGGGTGGGGAAGAAGATATAACAACTATACTTTCATGAAGTTGTTACAACAAGCAAACGGAAAGGACATTCTTGGGGGGGAGGGGAGAGAGGGAGGAGGGAGGGAGGTGTCGGTGATGGGCCATAATAATCATATACATTGTATATTGACAAAATAAAAATTTAACGAAAAAAAAATAATAAAATTTAAAAAATTAAAAAAATTTAAAAAAATAAATAAATAAAATTTTTTTTTTAAAGAATTTAATAGTTTAATGAGCAGGAGCAATTTCTTTAAAAATTTTTTTAAAAATTAAACCAATTATGTGTTAACAACATATTTTTGAAGCTTAGCTTCTGAGAAGTATACTCTGAAGTCAAAAATTGAAAATAAGCAAAGTTGGGCCAGCCCAGTTGCGCACTGGAGAGTGTGCCACTTGGGAGCGCGGCGGCACTCCCGCCGAGGGTTCGGATCCCATGTGGAGACCGGTTCCCGTCACTGGCTGAGCGCGGTGCGGGCACAACACCGAGGGTTGCGATCCTGTTGCCGGTCCCGGTACAGGTGCGACACCGAGGGTTGCGATCCCGTTACCGGTCAGTAAAAAAGACAAAAAGGAAAAAGAAAAAAAGAAAATAAGCAAAGTTGTAAGAAAATGGAAGATTCGAAGTTCTGTACTTATCCATTATACCTTTGTTATTTTATCATTTACTTTTTAAAATGGACTTTTTTTTTTTTGGAGCAATTTTAGGTTCACGGCAAAACTGAGCAGAAATCACAGATTTTTCCCATATACTCCCATCCTCCTCCACACATACCCTCCCCTACTAATCCACATCTTGCACCAGAGTGGTATGTTTGTTACAACTGATGAACCTACATAGGCATATTGTTATCACCCAAAGTCCATAGTTTACATTGGGTTCACTCTTGATGTTACACATTGTATGAATTTTGACAAATGTATCATTGACATGTATCCAACCATATTAGCACCATACAGAACGGTTTCACCTCCCTAAAAATCCTCCATGCTCTGCCTATTCATCCCTCCTTCCTCCCTAACCCTTGGCAACCAGTGATGTTTTCACTAATACCATAGTTTTGCCTTTTCCAGAATGTTATATAGTTGAAGTCTCACAATACGTAGCCTTTTCAGATTGGCTTCTTTCACTTAAGTAATATGCATTTGAGACATATCCATGTCTTTTCATGGCTTGAGAACTCATTTCTTTTTAGTGCTAAAGAATATCCTAACATCTGGATGTACCACAGTTCTCTTTTCACCTACTAAAGAACATCTCGGTTCCTTCCAAGTTTTGGGAACTATGAATAAAGCTACTGCAAACATCCATGCGCAGGTTTTTTGTATGGACATAAGTTTTCAACTTATTTGGGTAAATACCAAGAAGCGTAACTGCTGGGTCATGTGGTAAAAGTATGTTTGGTTTTGTAAGAAACTGCCAAACTGTCTTCTAAAGTGGCTGCACTATTTTTTATTCCCATAAGCAATGAATAAGCTCCTGTTGCTCCAGATCCTCACCAGCACTCGGTGTTGTCAGTGTTGTAGACTTCTGCCATTCTGATAGATGCGTAGAGGTTGCGCGTTGTTTTAATTTGCAATTCCCTAATGACATATGATGTTCGGCATCTTTTCATATCCTTATTTTCCATCTATATGTCTATTTTGGTGAGCTGTTTGTTCAGATCTTTTGTCCATTTTTTGATTGGCTTGTTCATTTTCTTGTGAAGTTTCAAGAATTCTTTATATATTTTGGAAGACAGTGCTTTATCAGATATGTCTTTTGCAAATATTTTCTCCCAGTCTGTGGTTTATTCTTATTCTCTGACAGTGTCTGTTGTATAGCAAAGGTTTTTAATTTTAATGAAACCCAGCTTATCAATTACATCTTTCATGAACTGTGCCATATCTAAAAATTCATTGCCATACCCAAGGTCATCTAGATTTTCTCCTGTTATCTTCTAGGAGTTTTGCAGTTTTGCATTTTCACATTTAGGTCTATGATCCATTTCAGTTAAGGAAGCATGGCCCTGCCCACACTGAGCCTCTGGAACTGATTATTGTAACGGATGCTCCGCAGAATGTACCAGAGAAGGATCAAAAGAGGTCGTGGAGACTTCTAAGGCTAAAGATCTAATAATCGTGCCAGCTACCATTTAATAGGAAAAGCCAGACCCAAATATGCTGGTTTTTAGAACTGTGTTCTTGGATCACAGGTTGACAGAGGAGTGGTGCTCAGAAGTTGGGTGGGAGAAAACTCATATCGAGCCTCTTCAAAACCTCTCATTGCATCCTGGATCATAGTCTTTCCACTTTTCCCTGGAATTATCTAAGGATTGAAGGCATTTCAAAGAGCAGATAATAAAATTTGACTGTTGCAGCCAAACGTCAACATGTATAGAAAGCACTAATCTTCTGTGTGGGCAACTTTGCTGGTATTTGACAAGGAAGAGTTTTTAGAGTGTGTTCAACAGCTTGTGGAAATGGGTCAAGAATGGGTCCCATATTCAATGCCTGCTGGTATATATGTTTGTCCTACATTCATTGGAACTGTCCTTCTCTTAGAGTCAAGAAGCCTACCAAACAAAGCCCTGCTCTTTCTCATCTTGAGCCCAGTGGAAACTTGTTTTTCCATGGGAACCTTTAATCTAGTGCCCCCATGGGCCAATCCAAATAATGTAAGAGCCTGGGAAGGTGGAACTGGGGACTGCAAGATGAAAGGGAATTACAGCTCATTTCTCTTGCCCAGAGTGAAGCAATGGGCAACGAGTGTCAGCAGGTTCCATGGCTCTGTGGAAAGGATAACCAGGTAATTGAAGTTAGAGCTATGAACTTTTTTCTTTACGAGATAAATAAAGATGCAGAAGAGAAACTGGCACCTCTCCTGTGAGATGGCATCATCCAGGAGTGAAGGCAGTGCATTCAGGACCTGGCACACAAGTGGGTGAATCTAAGGTGTCAGAGAGGCACCTTACCATGGATGATTGGACAACTGCCCTGGAGGGGAGCAGAGTGGGGGAGACGTTTGGCTCTGGTACAGCCTGTGTTGTGTACCCAGTTTCTGATACTGTACAAAGGTGAGAACATACACATTCCAACTATGTGGAATGGTCCCAAGCTTGCAAGCTGTATCCTGGGCAAATTGACTGATAACCCACACAGAAGAGGAGAAAGTGACTGGACAATTGTATTAGCCTGAGTGAAAAATATAGGATATGAACTATATGCTATTGGCACAGACTGTTGCATTTGAATTGTGATAGATATTTTTGGCTACCTGTTACTAGTTGTGCATAATGCAATTTGTATTATCAGTGTGTTACAAGGGTGATGGTTTCCTCATGCCAGAGAAAATGAATTGCAATGATCAGATAAAATAAAGTCTCTTGAAATAATTCCTCTCCTTGTGGTTGTATACCAACTGCTTATATAAATAGGTTCATTTGTTTCCGTTTGCCTTTATTTATTTATTTTTAAATTTTATTTATTCATTTATGTACTTTTTAATTTACTGAAACATAATTGATTGTACGTATCTGTTGGGGCATGGAGTTGAATATCAATACCTGTGTACAATATGTGATGCTCAAATCAGAATAATTCACGTATTCAACATTACGCAATGTAACCATTTCTGTGGCCCTTTACCAATTTCTTGCTAACCCCCTGCTGTCCCATCTCTGGTGCCTCAGTTCTATTCTCTCCTTTTGAAATTTCAAAGTATTATTGTGATTGTTGTATCTTTCTTTAAAAATTTTTTTAGCTCCCACATATGAATGACATTTCTTTTTTTATTTATGGCAGAGTAGTATTCCATTGTGTATAAATACCACATTTTCCTTATCCAGTAGTTCGTTGATGGACATTTAGGTTGGTTCTAACTCTTGGCTATTGTAAATACAGCTGCAATAAACATGGGAGTGCAGGTATCCCTTCAACATGATGATTTCCATTCCTTTCGGTCTATACCCAGAAGTGGGATTGCTGGATCATATGGTAGATCTATCTGTAGTTGTTTGAGGAACCTGATTACTGTTTTCCATAATGGCTGCACTAATTTACAGTCCCACCAACAGTGTGGGAGGGTTCCCCTTTCTCCACGTCCTCACCAGTGTTTGTTATTTTTTGTCTTTTTGATAATGACCAGTCTAACTGGGGTGAGATGATATCTCAATGTGGTTTTGAGTTGCATTTCCATGATGTTTAATGAGGTTGAGTATTTTTTCATGTGTCTGTTGGCCATTTGTATATCTTCCTTTGAGAAATGCCTATTCAGCTCCTTTGCCCGTTTTTCAATTCAGTTACTTGTTTTTTTACTGTTAAGTTATTTGAGTTCCTTGTATATTCTGGATATTTCTCCCTTGTTGGATGCATAGTTTGTGAATACTTCCTCCCATTCTGTAGGTTGTCTTTTCACTCTGTTGTTTCCTTTGTTGTGCAGAAGCTTTTTAGTTTGAAATCATCCTATTTGTTTATTTTCCCTTCTGTTGCCTCTGCTTTTGGGACCTCATTAATAAAGTCTTTGCCCAGCCCTATTTCCTGAAGTGTTTACCCTATGTTTTCTTTTAGAAGTTTCATAGTTTCCGGTCTTATATTTAAGTCTTTAATTCATTTTGAGTTAATTTTGGTATATGGCGAAAGGTATGGATCTAGTTTCATTCTTCTACTATGGATGTCCAGTTTTCCAAGCCCCATTTATTGAAGAAGCTGTCTTTCTCCCAATATATATTCTTGGTGCCTTTGTCCAAGATCATGTGGCTGTAAGCATGTGGGTTGTCTTCTGGGTTCTCTATTCTGTTTCCATTGGTCCAAGCATCTGTTTTTATTCCAGTACCATGTTGTTTTGGTTACTATAGTTTTGTCATATATATAATTTAAAGTCAGTTAGTATTATGCCTCCAGCTTTTTTCTCAGGATTTCTTTGGCTATTCAGTGTCTTTTGTTGTTCCAAATGAATGTTAGGATTTTTTTTCTATTTGCTTTGGCTATTTGGGGTCTTTTGTCGTTCCATATGAAAGGTAAGATTGTTTTTCTATTTCTGTGAAGAATGTCATTGGCATTTCGATGGGGATTGCATTGAATCTGTAGATCGTTTTGGGTAATATGGACATTTTCACAATGTTAGCTCTTCCAATCCAAGAGCTTGGAATATCTTTCCATATTTTTGTGTCTTCTTTAATTTCTTTCAGTAGTGGTTTGTAGTTCACATTGTAGAGATATTTCACCTCCTTGGTTAAATTGATTCCTAGGTATTTTATATTTGTGGTGACTATTGTAAATGGGCTTACTTTCTTGATTTCTCTTTCTGTTAGCTCGTTATTGGAGAATATAAATGCAACTGACTTGGGGTAATGATTTTGTATCCTGCAGCATTACTGAAATTATTAACCAGCTCTAAGAGTTTTTTGATAGACTGTTTAGGTTTTTCTATATATAGTATCATGTCATTTGCAAATAGGAACAGTTTGATTTCTTCTTTTCCAATCTGGATGCCCTTTATTTCTTTCTCTTGCATGATTGCTCTAGCTAGTACCTCCAGTACTATGTTAAATAGAAGTGGTGAGAGTGGGCATCCTTGTCTTATTCCTGTTCTTAAGGGAAAAGCTTTCAGTTCTTTCCCATTAAGGATGATATTGGTGGTGGGCTTGTCATAGATAGCTTTTATTATGTTGAAATACTTTCCTTCCATACCTAATTTGCTTAGAGTCTTTATCATGAAGGGATGATGAATTTTGTCAAATGCTTTTTCTGTATCTATTGAGATAATCATGTGGTTTTTGTCCTTGATTTTGTTGATGTGGTGTACCACATTTATTGACTTTTGTTCCCCTCCTTTTCCTCCTTTTTCCTATTTGTATACATTACAGTTTTTATTTTTAAGTTAGTTTATCCCAGTATAGGAAGTTTTCTCAGTTCAGTTTTTATTTGTTCTTGATTTTCTCTTCTTTTCATTAAAGTCCTTCTTTGTATGTACAATAATTCTCAATTGACTGTGCATAATTTTAAAAGCTGACTTGAGTTCTGAGTGGCTGAATGGAGCTTGTTGAATTTCATTAGGTAATATGCCTAGGCCATTTAGTTTGAAGAGCCACGAAGGCCTCTTAGATCTCATATTTTGGGGTTAGTAAGATTCTACAGAAAGAATACTTTTAGGATCTGTCTGAAGAGAGAAAGCCTGGCTGCCAGCACTCTGAGACCTGATAGAGAATTGTATATTGGGCTAGGTGTCTCAATATACAATAGCTATATATTTACAAAATCCTATTTTTGGTGTATGGTACCCTGTTTTCAAGTGTGCCTAAGGTCCCACAAGCCATAGATTTTTTTTTTACACCTTCAGATGATAAACTATAATCATCTTCTTGGCTGGAGGAAGGGAAGATTCCTAGCTGAGTAAGCTGAGGAAGGACTCATCTAGCTGATTCTTAAGGAATTCTCACCCAAATTGTCCATTTTTAGCCCTCCCAACCCTTTGTCTCCATTTCCACAGGAACCTAGGACGGGTCATTTCTGTGTTACAAAGTGGGTTAGTTGTCTGATTTTTACATTTGATTTAAGG